GGGGGGGGGGGGGGGGGGGGGGGGGGGGGGGGGGGGGGGGGGGGGGGGGGGGGGGGGGGGGGGGGGGGGGGGGGGGGGGAGGGGTTGTGGTGCATAGATGTAAAAATAAAGGCGTTAAAAAAAAATTAGTAAAGCATCGAACATGGAAATTTATTTATTTATTAAAAATTGGATCAAATCCTGAGGTTCAGCTAATGAGCCTTTCCAATTGAAGTACATCTTATTAATGTTAAGAATGAATGCAGTGATGTAGTTCAGCCCCCCAGACTCAAAGCTTGCGAAGATGCAAAAAGCCTCACCGATGCCACCATGGTCATGCAGTCACGCCCCGAAGCCAACTCATGCCAGCTAAGACATTAAAAACCTGGTTACATTCACGTCCCGTCATCAGCAAGTGCTTTTTTTTTTGTGTGTGCAAGCCCATACGAATTTAATGAAGTTTTAGGAAAGTCTTCAAAGGGTTAACAGTACTGGAGTCATTTTGACATCAATAAACGGGTACCCAAAAAAAAGGGCAAGTGCACGTTTCAACAGTTAGAGCAACGAGAGCTTTGATGAGAGCGCTGAATGAGAGAAGTAAGAGGAAGTGTGTGAGTAGAGAGCATGAGTGTAATTTATCGAGAGAAGAAAGGAGAAGAGAAAAAAAAATCATGGAAGCGTCGGATGGGGGAGGGGGTGTATAGAAACGGGTAGAGAGAGAGAGAGAGAGAGAGAGAGAGAGAGCGCGATAAGAAGAAATAGAATGAGCGTGTAGTATACAAGGTATTGGAGACGGCAAGTGTGTATTTATATATATATATATATATATATATATATATATATATATATATATCTATATATATATATATATATATATATTCTATTATAATTATATACAATGGATTAAAAAAAAATGATATGATGAAGATTGGTTTAATCGCGATAGAGAGAGAAAAAATGAAATGTGGCGAGTAGAATGAAAGAGTGTTATAGATACATATGATTATTATTATTATTAATATATTATTATTAATATACATACTTTCATATAAATATACATACTAAAAGAATTGGATTCTTTAAAAAAAAAAATCTCTAGAATCCGTTGTTGATTTCATCAGTAAGGCCTGACCAGGAGCTGTCAAAATGATTTCTTGAGAACACAAAAAATTCGTAACATCAAGACAATAAAGAAGCACTATCTGAAAAAATCTAAAACACGAAAAGCTAGGATTTTTGTTTTCGTATTTTGCGACTGTGAATAACTGTGTACTGTTTTATGTACGAAGTGGCTGTACGTATCCTGAATAGCACCGAGTCAAAATGGACCCAGACACGCAGCGCCGCCATTCGCACCCGGGTACCATGAGACTCAAGCTATTCGGATGTCATTTGTAGTAGTTTATTTTAGTTAACTTGAAGAAGTAAGTTTACAGCCATATAGTTCATTCAATTATCTTTCATTTGATACCTCATTTTGTCTTACAAACAATGATATTTTAAATCGTTGTTTTTTTATCCCAACTTCTCCTTTCTGGTACCCGGGTTCGAATAGTCGCAGCCTTTTATCTAAGCAGGGAAACCTAAAATATTTCACCATTGTGGCGTACTTGGTCCCCACACGGTTATCTTCATCACCACACTGTTAACTTCATCACCACACTTTTAACTTCATCACCACAATGTTAACTGCATCACCACAATGTTAACTGCATCACCACACTGTTAACATATTAACATATTAACAACACTGTTATCTTCATTCAAACACTGTTGACTTCATCACCTCACTTTTAACTTCACCACCACACTGTTAACTTCATCACAAAACTGCTAAATTCATCACCATACGGTTAAAATCATCACCCCACTGTTAACATCATCACCACACTGTTAACATCATCACCAAACTGTTAACTTTTCACCACACTGTTAACTTCCTCCCTACACTATTAATTTCATCATACCACTGTTAACTTCATCACTCCACTTTGACATCATCACCACATTGTTAACTGCATCACCGCACTGTTAACTTCATCACCACACTGTTATCTTCATCCCCCACACTGTTAATTTCATCACCACACTGTTAACTTCATCACCCCAATGTTCTCCAGAACTTCCGGCGTTCTCGTCCAGCCCCCCCCCCCCCCACACCCCCCCATTACCCTCACATAAATGTTCGCTGATAATTGTGTTGAGTTTCCCCCGTGCTAACGATCGACTGACCGTACTGGTCTTGACCTAATTTGAACCCAGGTCCTCAGCAATGTTTTACCCCATTCCTTGGCGATGTTTTTAACCCCAGTTCTTGGCGATGTCTTTACCACAGTTCTTGATTATGTTTTTACCCCAGTCCTTTGCAATGTTTTACCCCAGCCCTTGGCGATGTTTTTACCCCAGTCCTTGGCGATGTTTTTACCCCAGCCCTTGGCGATGTTTTTACCCCAGTCCTTGGCGACGTTTTTACCACAGTCATTGTTGATTTTTTTACCACAGTCCTTGGCGATGTTTTTACCCCAGTCCTTTGGCTATGTCTTTACCCCTGCCCTTGGCGATGTTTTTTACCCCAGCCCTTGGCGATGTTTTTTACCCCAGCCCTTGGCGATGTATTTACCCCAGCCCTTGGGATGTTTTTTACTCCAGTCCATGGCGATGTTTTTACCATAGTTCTTGGCGATGTTTTTACCACAGTTCCTGGTGATGTTTTTACCACAGTTCTTGATTCTGTTTTACCCCAGTCCTTTACGATATTTTACCCCAGTCCTTGACGATATTTTTTACCCCAGTCCTTGGTTATGTTTTTACCCCTGTCCTTGGTGATGTTTTTACCACAACCATTTTTACTTTTTACCCCGTCCTTGGCGATGTCTTTACCACAGTCCTTGGCGATGTTTTTACCCCAGTCTTTGGCGATGTTTTTTTCCACAGTCCTTGTTGATTTTTGTGCCACAGTCCTTGGCGATGTTTTTACTCCAGCCCTTGGCGATGTTTTTACCCCACAAGCTCCAAAGGCACGAGACATTTAAATAAGTTACAATATGACGAATAGTTATTATGCACCAAATTATTTGTATCATGGCAGTCTTGACGCCCACTTCAAAGAAATAAGTGTGCATTTTGCCAAAAATACAACGCCTTCATATAGGCTATAGGATATAGGGTGACCAAACGTCCCGGAAAAAACGGGACTGTCCCGTTATTTTTACGATCGTACCCGGTGTCCTGAAAAAGTCTCTCGGAGCGCCTGAATTTCCCGTTTTTAAAACCAAACACATTTTCACATATTAGAAAAGAAGGAGGTTTGAACAACGGCTGGGGCAACAGCCAAATATCCTCAATTTAAATCCTAGACTAGAGAAATTTAATTATTTGCGTTGTATTATTTTGTAAAATATGTATAAATACGTAAGTATTCGTTGCAAAATTATCGTTTTCGTTTAAGATATGCCTCAGATTTTAAATTAAATTAAAAAAGTGAAGGTAAATTTTAAAAGATTTCTCGGTCTCAAAATAGTTCAAATGAGCAGATTTCAATAAGCAATTTCCGGTGGAGGCCCCCGGATCCCTCTTTAGCTTGAGGGTATCCCCCCCCCCCACCAACCCTCCTTGGGTGTGTCCCGTTTTTTCCAGTTCATGATTTGGTCAGCCTACTATAGGCATAATAAAGAAAAAAGAAAGAGTCACCCAGAATAGACGCCCCCCCCCCACACTTTTCCGCCACCCTTTCCTGCGCCACTGAGTGGGGGAAATACCACATAAATGACCCAGACAGATTTCGCTATACAGTTTTGCGATCGGTTCACAGCGGTGCTGATGGGACCGAATTAACAAACAACGCAGGAGTCACTATTTTATTTCACCATAGCTTCTGTGTGGGGGAGATGGCAGTTCTTAAAATTTCTTTATGAATGAAATAAGGAACAGATCAATGAATTACATACATGCAACGCCGTGTGAAGGGGGCACACATCCCTGCGCTACCTTCTGAGGGCGCCAACATCGCCATTTTCCATGGCAAAAAAATGTGCCCTTAATATAAAATATAATATAAAACATTTTTGGAAGATGACGCTTAACTTCAAATTTTACTCGGGACTGGGGGAGGGGTCTGGGGTGGGTCGGGGGTTGAGTTGTTTATTACTGGATGCGTCATCATACAAAGCAATTCATATAAGAATTGCCAGATTATGATTGGTGTTTGCTATTGCTTTTTAAATCATCGAATATTGTTTTTGTTGTTTTTTCTTTATTTTACTTTTGTTTTCTGCCACGTTTCATTTTCGGCTGTCCTAGATTATTATAATTATTATAAGTTGTTTTATATAGCGCCGTAACCAGCCTAGGGCTGGGCTCACCACGCTGTACATACAATTTAACAAACATAATAAAAAAATTAAAAATTAATTAACATACATTAATTAAATAAAACGCAAATGTATATTTAAAGCTATTTACATGTCAAGCCATGGACGACACCCAGCAGCATCGTTTTTCGGTCGGAGGTGGGAATCAGTCAGGATAGTAGAGTTTAAAAAGATGTGTTTTGAGTGCAGATTTAAAGGGTGTGATGGTCGGTATATTGCGGATGTGTAATGGAAGAGAATTCCATTTTTGGGGGGCACAGAAAGAGAAGGATCGTTCACAGGATGTTTTTTGTGCGAGCAGGCCCGTTCTTAGGCATACGCTGACTACGCGTCCGCGTAGGGCCCCGAACTTGAGGGGGCCCAAGTAAGGCGCCCACGATGCCCCGGTATTTTTTTTTTAAACTGGCACTGCAGCCGTCTGCGTCACTCACGTTACCTTCCTCATCCTGAAATTTATCATTCAGAGTTGAATTCGGAGGCAGGGGAAGGGAAGCAGCAAGGGGGGGGAGGGCTTTGGGGGGTGGCAGACAGGAAATCGGGGGCTTGGCCGTGGGAATGGGAAAGTATAAATAGCGATCGGACCCCCCCCCTTTTTCCGGGGCCCCCAACCTACGCTCCATGCTTAGGGCCCCCATACTTCTAAGAACAGCTCTGGTGCGAGTCTTGGTGGACAGAAAGAATACGCGCGTCTGCGGAGGAGCGAGGCTGTCGAAGAGGTGAATAGACAGCGTGAGGTTCAGTTAGATAGGAAGGGGAGAAATTCGAGAAAAAAGTTGTGGCAGAGAACAGAGAGTTTTTAGTCAATACGTGATTTTACAGGGAGACAATGAAGTGAATGAAGTAGTGGTGTGACATGATCACGTTTTTTTGTTGTTGTTGTTTTTTTGCGTTTAGAATTAGCCTAGCAGCTGAGTTTTGAACCATTTGTAATGTTTCCCAATAATTGTTTTGGTGAACCTGATAGAAGAGGAAACTGATACCTAGTAAAAAAAAAAATTAACAATATTTTAAAACGGCAAATTTCAGGGGTTGGGGGTGTGTAAATGCCCTTCCTAATCCACCCAAATGACCTTCTTCAAATTTTAAATATTTTCAGAGCTTGTCTTATCAGAAGAGGTTGGGAATAATTTCATGATTTTTTTTTTAAATTCATGTTTAGCACTCTGCAGTCCACACAGAGGAACCATCTGTATTAGAGCAATGGCTTAAGAAGAACGTTAAGTTCAATGATAATTTTCTTCCTATTCAACTTATTCCTTTGATGATAGATCTTAAAATCATTTTTTTTTGTTTAAAAAAATGTTAAATAAATAAGCATTTTAAAATATAATTTCATGAAACATGTACTAGTAACATGTACTGTTTTCGTAAGCAAATACGTTGTCATTATCAATATGGGCAATATTGTAGGCCTATATTTTTTATATTGTACTTGTAGTTCAGTGGTTCTTAACCTTTTTGGAGGTACCGAACCCCAGCAGTTTCACAGGCGCATTCACTGAACCCTTCTTAATAGGAAAAATAAAATATGATTGGCTACCATATGATTTTTTTTCTGATTTTTTTGGACCTCCGCCGAACCCCTGAGACTGACTCAGAGGCATAGCGAGGGTGTTTGGCGCCCGGGGACAAGATTCGCGCCCGGGCTTAAGATCCATTTTAAGCGCCCCTTTTTTCTTTTTTTCAACTCTCAAACTCATTATTTTTATCAATAAAATAATATCAAAGGATATTTTGGCGCCCCTAACTAGCTGGCGTCCTGGGACATCTCTCCCCTCCTGCCCCCCCCTGGCTACGCCTGTGGACTGACTCACCGAACCCCTGGGGTTCGATCAAACCCAGGTTAAGAACCGCTGTCGTTGTTTGTACATTTTTAATTAGACTAAAGTTTGGAGTTCTTTCCCCTCAAAAGTCTTCTTCTAAAGGAGTTAAAGTGATAATATCCGGGCCTTTGGCGGAAGTGCTCTTGTGAGGTTAAGAGTTCAGTTATTTTTATCGGCTCACTGTCGAGAATCACGGCCCCTGCCATGAATACTATGAATTTAAAGTGATTATATTGACATAATACTGTGAGTTATATTTTACAATACTCAGTAATAAATAATTATGAAGGTGAAGTGGGTATAAATTGATAAATACTACGAAATAACTTTAAAAAAAATAAAGCCGAGCAATTAACCATCTTGAGTATCCTGACTTTTATTTTTCTTCAACTAAGACTAAGCTAAGTGATAAGTGAAGTCTAAGTCTAAGTTACTTAGGCTTGATTGCGACTATTAATTAACTCAATAACTAAATTTGGTATATACATTTAAGTTGAGGGTGCTAAATTTACATTGGAATTTACACTTGAGTTAAGGTTCCTGAATTAGCATTCAGGTTACAGAGAGTTGTAGATTTTTTGTAAATTAGTTTGGACAATGTACAATTGACCTTTCGCCCAGGGACCACTGAGTTTCAAACTTTGTTTATTCTTTGGTAAATTTTGGGTTAACGGTATGGGTTTTGCCAAGAGTTTTCTCACCCTAAGCGCAGTGACGTCACTTTGGGGAATCCCAACACTGGACTTAGACTTAGGGTGAATAGACCTATGCATTGTAGAACCCGAACGATGTGTGTTATAACAATAACATTCCTATTCTTTATTGAGCATTACGGCATCATAAACGATACGGTCAATATGATATATGGAATTTTCCATTAATTTGTATTAAAATTGCTTTTTTTTTTTTTAGTTGAAATCAAAATACCCGTATATTGAATCTTGGGTAACAAAAGGGAGACTACTGCTTAAATTGCATTTGGAATGATCTTCTGTGGAGGGCAGACCCCTCCCCAATTTAACAAAAAATAAATTAAGAAAACAATAACTTGCATTATGTGAATACAAACATCGAAATCTTTTTAGTGTGGCGCTATATACCGTGGAACACATCGTCGGCCTTACCGCTAACCCAAAATCATCCTATTCTTTGATTGTTGCTAGGTTTAAATTTTATTTTTTTAAATGTTAGTACACCTTTGGGACATTGTAAATTAATATTTCATTGGTTGGTTAATTATGATATTCCAATTTCCCGGGCATTTTGGAAAATGGTTATTAAATTGTATATTGATTTTTCTGACTACTTTTGGATTTTATTTTTGTTGGAACCTGGAATAAAGTGTGTATCCCTGTAACTGTATTTGATGAAAAACTTATTGGTTTTTCATTATTTTAAAAATGTTTTTATTGTTTTTTAATGTGTGGGAATGGAGCGACCGCAGGTCATTGAGACTTTTTGCGCATATCTAGAGGGATACAATAAAGTTGCTGCTTACGAAATTAATGTACTGACTGAAATTACACCAAGAAAGGGGGCAACCATTAAATTTTAGCGTTTTGTTTCTATTTTTGTCCCTCTCTGTAAGTAGTTGAAACAACATAGTCTCTACATTTTCTTTACCCATTTGAGCTGTGATATTGCACTACGTTGTTTTATTACTGTCGCAATCTTTGTTGTTATGACAAAGATGGTGGCCATGGGGGAAAAAAGTGGTCCAAAAACATGGGGCGGAGCGCCAAGCAAGCAATTAACAAAAGTTTCATAAAATTTACATGTTTTTTTTTGTGCTAATTTATAACATTTAAAAAAGTTTCATTAAATTTGCATGTTTTTTGTGTGCTATTTTTTTCTTTCTTTTGAAACAGGACCGAATTCTTAATTGAAATACCATGGTCGATGTGTTCCACTATCTGGAACTAAGGGCCCAGGGTCTTACACATGGACATCACTTCAGAGAGTGTCGAAAAGTCGTCAGGAACTTGCTGGAAGATGTTTCTGCAAAGCCAGTTCACAACCTGGTAGATATTATACAATAATTAACAACCTACTTCCTTACATAAAATTTTGCTTTTTTCGTACATTGCTTTAATGGCTTAATGGATATTAATAACCCATTTGACTTTAATAACACATATAAATTTCATAATTGTGACACCCATTTGAACAGGAGAGAACAAATAAGTTTTGTCACGTTACAAGAATACAGGATTTAAAGTTAAATTAACATGAATTAGTCAGACCTGCCAACCCTTCCGATTTTGTCGGAACTATTCAGATTTTATTACCTCTTTCCGACCTCCCGACAAATCCCTTAAAATTAAGATTTTTCGAACTTTATAATTTTTCAACTATCAAAAAAAATCTGAAAGCAACCAAAAAAAAAAAAATCAGGTACAACAGGAAGTGTTGCATTTGTTTTTATGAAGTCCATACATTTCTGCCGACCGGACAAATAAGTGAATAAATTCTGGAGATATTCGTCCGACTATTACTATTATATATTCGACCAAGTCACATGAACCATTGCTGGTATATATAATGAGCACTGCCTTGTTTTTATCAATGTGAACCGCGATCTCCAAATCACTCTACAATGATCAATTGATCCAATTGTGATTCATCCTTTTAACAAGGCCAAAAAATAATTCAGACATTTTTGTTAGTTTTGTTAATGCTCTTCTTAATTAAATGGTTAAATCTATTGAAAGTGATGAGTACGATGATGATATTAATAAACATAATTTAACCACCAATAAAAACATACAAGTGCAGCTAAAAGTAATCCATGTCTTATTTCTAATGAGAATACATTTTCTAACTGTTGCTTTTAACTACAATCAGTTGCCATGCTAACCTTCACGTGTGCAAATAGCTTGGACAAGTGCAAAAAGGCCACTAGGGATATGCTGGAAAACTGAACTCTTAGCAGTCTGTGCACATATGAAGATAAAATGGATCTTATGTTCTGTACTGTATATATCTGTATATAAACATTTCCATTAATGTTTTTCTCATATTCTGTGGTGTTGTATGGGCTCTTCAAAGACAATGGAGGTAACTTTATATTTCATTATTTACTAAAAAAGGCTTGTGCGTTAGTAAATAGATCTTACCCCAACTCCCCCCCACAGGGCGCCTCCCCCTGGGGCCACTGGCCCCATGGCCCCACTTCCCCCCTGCGTGCACCCCCCTACAGATTTTTTTCTTGACAGGTTGGCACGTCAGATTAGTTAGCTTTATATATACATATAAACAATTTTGACAATAGCTAAAATCAGGCTTACCACATGTCGTGGGTTATCCAGTTTTAAATCTCTTTTTTTTTCACTCGCACTTTACTAAAAAGTGCTTTGTCTTTCAGACCATGTTATTTGTCTCATGCAAATTAATATAAGAACCTTGTTGGTTACCAGTTAGAATATTTCATGTAGCTAAGCTGAATGACTCTACAGATAAGGAAATTTCGGAATTGTGTGTGATTGTATTTGAATCAAACATCAGTTGTCCCGTGACATGTTTGCGAGCCTATTGACATCTCACCCTGTTTTTTTTATTTTTTACAATGCTTGGCACCCTGAGGCAGGTCAGCATTTAAAGACTGTTTGAAAAGGAAGAGTTTTGATTCTGTTGCTAGACTTTAACAGAAAGCTACCTTTGTAAAAATTCTTGGTGCTACATTTGAAAAGATTCTTTAATGGCTGAATCGGGTGCAGTTTTTTTAATAAACATTTTCTATAATGTGCAACCAAATGGGGAGTAGTGAAAGGTGCATGTATAGAAATGGTAGCAATTGCAAATTTATCAAAGTTGAAGTCTTCAAAACACTAACAGCTTTATAATATAATCCTAACCAAGCTTTTTTTAACCTTTTAAAGTTTTTTATTATTATTTATTTATTTCAGGCCAAATATGCAATTTATGTTTTAAAAAAATGTACAGGCTCTATACATGTACTTTTTCATACTCACAACACATTATAGAATGTGAGACGGTAACACTTTTTTAAACACCTGAAACCGTTTTTTTTTTTTTTTTTTATCGGGTCCGGGTAAGTGCTGGTTGTCCAAAAACTCAGCAATTAAAAATATTTTAAAAATTTAAAACGTTGAAGCTGAACTTTTAAATTTGTAAGCTTGATCCCCCTTTGAATATGAAGCCCTGGCAAAAACTATGCCTGAAGCAACAGTCATCTGATTTAAAAAAATGTACAGGCTCTATACATGTACTTTTTCATACTCACAACACATTATAGAATGTGAGACGGTAACACTTTTTTAAACACCTGAAACCGTTTTTTTTTTTTTTTTTATCGGGTCCGGGTAAGTGCTGGTTGTCCAAAAACTCAGCAATTAGAAATATTTTAAAAATTTAAAACGTTGAAGCTGAACTTTTAAATATGTAAGCTTGATCCCCCTTTGAATATGAAGCCCTGGCAAAAAATATGCCTGAAGCAACAGTCATCTGGTGGCTAAAATAAATTTTAAGCATGCTGCTCGGAGTTTTGACAAAGTTAAAAGGGACATTAAATCTCTTGGAAATGTAGTTTAATGTGAAAACATTGGGAGTACCAGAGTTTGATTGAATCAAATAATTGCCATACTGTCTGTTATCAACCTTGTTGAATTTCTGTTATAATCACAGTTAGCCTATTTCGATGGCATAGACAAGCAAAGCATGTTTTTTTTTTACTTTGCATGTTATAGAATTTTATGATCATTTATTGTTCTCTTCACAGCCCTGTGAGTTTTCTGGTGAGCCAAGGGCCACATTTCTCATGGACTTCAGCCCAAACATGTGATTATAATTTTTTTTTTTTTAGATCTTGACTAGCTTTAAAAAATATGCAATGCATACTATACTTTTCTAAATAATCAATATATGTGTTTGTGAGCTTATTTTTCTAAACGATTTTGCCAAAATATAGATTAAATTAATTTACTTCCATCTATATTTTAAAGGGTACTCAAAAGAATCAGAAGGCTAAATTTGTTTGTGCTATTTTTTAATCATGTGCTGCAATCATATCTCTTTCCATGAACTGGGGTTATTTTTTTAAATTCTTTCAGGTTACGTGTGGCATCAACACATGGGGACCATACTGTACGAGTGACAGATATACGGACTGGAAAATGTACCCACATACTAACTGGGCATCCCAGAACACCATGGTGTCTAGCATTTAATCCAGCGTCTAATGATATACTTGCCTCTGGCTGTTTGGGTGGAGAAATTCGTATATGGGATCTACTGGTATTAATTTTTCCAGCAGCTCTATCGAAATACATTCATCTGATATTTTTCATATTACTTTTTAAAAGTCAATTAATTCTTTTGGTAGATCTACCCTGTTACTTTTATTCTTGAGTGCTGTTCTCTAAATCAATACCAAAAAATTTTTTAAAATAATTTGTTAATCTGATGTCAAATCCAGGGTGGCGGGAGTGAAGTTCTTCTCAACCCTTGTGTGGGCCAAGTCATCACATCGCTGGCATTCCACCCGACGGGTCAAGTCCTTGTGTTTGCGACCATGAACTATATTTACTTTTGGGACTGGAGCCAAGCAACGCCGTTCTCCTTTACTAGGACAACCCATGATTATGAGAGAATACGGTACAAGCACATACAACTTTGTTATTGTATTTAGTTCTGTTTTATTCTCTCCAGCAATGATTTTTATAAGTTGATAGCTAGTTATTAGGAAGTGTATTATTTTAAAGTTGGTATTAAGTATTTGTTTAATGGCCAGTTATCATTAGGAAGCGTTTGTTTGAGGGCTAGTTATTAGGAAGTGTTTGATCGTAGCTAATACATATCGGCTATGTGAATGGGGTTAAATGCATAAAGCAGCCATCCCCCAATACGGAAGAGTTTAGTTAGTTCAAAAGTTGATTCGGTTTAGAAAGTTTTATATACATTCTCATTGTATATGCTGTAAAAAACATGCAAATGTATTTCATTCGTGGCAGGAGCTTGTATCATTCTCTCCCTCTTTTATGCCATCTCTTAGGTTCTTGTAAGTGGAGCAGTATGTTAAGTTCTTGTAATCACCAATCAATCACACCTTAGTGTGCAATGTTATGTTCCAAACGTTTTGAAAAGATTAATTTTTTTCCACCCACTTGTGCTTATCATTTCCAGTTGGCTGCGATTTGATCCACTTGGCCAGTACCTGTATACAGGAATAGCCAACAACACCACAGTTCACAGAGACAGAGAAGGTGTGGCAAGAGTTGTCGCAATGTAGGTATCAATATTCAATCTGGCATATATCTTGCCATGCCCTCGGTGACTCTGCAAGCACAACATTTTAGGGCAGTGGATCTCAACCTGTGAGACGCTACCCCTTTGGGGGTCGAACGACCCTTTCACAGGGGTCGCCTAAGACTATTGCAAAACACATATACCCTACAGTTATGAAATAGCAACGAATATAATTTAGTGATTGGGGGGGGGGGGGTCACATCAACACTAGGAATTGTATTAAAGGGTCGCAGCATTAGGACGGTTGAGAACCAGTGTTTTAAGGGATCAGAATTTAAGGATTTTTTAGAGACTTGGAAAAGTGACCTATTTAAAGTCAACCAACCTGTTTTTTTAAACAAAGCAAAAGTGTATTTATCATGGTTCTTTCTCTTTCAGTAATGATGCGTTAGATTTGTCAGCAGAGGGTGATGACAGGAGCACACAGCAGCATCTCAACCGCCTGCGGTACCAGCGACTGCTGCAGCGATTTATGGCCTTCCAGCAAGACCACAACAGGCGTAAGGCTACATGTCTAGATTCACAGCAACAATTTAGTGTATTGCTATAAAACTTTTTTGAATATTAGAACATCTTCCTTCATATCCGCCTGTTACATTATGCTGGGATCTGAGGTGAGCACAAGCAGGATATATATCAGTGTGCCAACTACTAGCAAGGCACCAGGATGGGTGTACCGTTTATATTCTTGTTTGCGGCGCCAAATTTTATTTAATTGGAAATATTTCAAGGGTAATTACTCAGTAATCGTGTCCGGAAATTTGTTTGAAAGAAATTTTGTCGACCGAAAATTGATTGACGGAAGTTTGATTGAATTTTTTTTTCAGTTCACGCGATCTAATTTTGCGTCAAATTTCTTTTTTGAATGCGTTATTTTGTTTTACTATATAGTGGGTTCAAAAAGAAATGTGACAAAAATTTGATCGCATGAACTGAACAAAAAAATTTAAACCTCTGCCGATCAATTTTCTTTCAAACAAATCTCCGGTAACCCTTGTTTTCCAAGGAAAGGTGAATAATAAAATTGTAACTATAGATCTTAAAGTTCCTCCAAATCCATCGTATACTTGACAAGATTCAATTATCTGTTACATTACTAAAATAAAGGTACCAGAATTAGATTGCACCATTTGCCCAACGTAATGTTTTTTCTTTACAAATAATAAAAGTCTCTTACTTAGAGAATAGTTGTAATGATGGGCTTATATCACATCCCAGCTAACACAGATTCTGGTGGGGGGGCTTGAGCTTACACCCCTATGGGATTATATAAACGATGATAAATTTCAATGAAAAATTTACCTAAATCATTTAGGAATGTGGGTAAATTTTTTTAACAGTGGTTTAGTTTCCTTAATTAATTTTAGTCTGGTTTTACCATCCAATATTTATGAAAATAACAGCTACCTTGCAATGACAATATCCCAGTTACTGAAATAATAGTAATTCTTATTTTCATATCTCCACATAATTTTAAAACCTGTAAATGCTTTAGGATTGAGCTATTTCTTCTTTGTTCCATCATTGCCGGCTACCCCAACAGCTGCATATCCTGGTATGCCACCATTATCTCCTGAATCACGCTCTCCTGTTCACGAAGAAGGGCTGGACAATGCTCGTCAGTATGCTCGCCATGTGACCAACATCGCAGCCAGGACAGCATCCAATAATGCAGAAACAGCTTCTTCGAGTTTGCCCATTCTGTAAGTTTGTATATTCCACTCCTCAATTAACAAGATGTGAATGCCCACCATGAGTACATTAGTGTTGTACTTGCTGTTTCAAAGGAATAAATGGGTTTTTTTTAAATTTATTTTCAGTGCAGTACCAGGTATTCATAAAAAAAAGAAAATCCAGTACAATTTGAATAAGTAGAAAGCTTATCAATCTATGTTAGTTATCATATAAATAAGACCAGCGCTAATATTCAAACAATATCATATCAGGAATTTATTTATGTAAAGTAACTTGTATTACATTTGACCATAAGTATGATGAAGTCCCCCCACCATCTGTCTGCAGGGCGCTCCATCGTCGAAGACATGCTTCATCAAGAGCACCGACTACACAGCCAAGCACCTCTCAGGAGGACTTTGTGTCCGTTGGCCAGGAGTCTGGAAGCTCAAACTGGCCCATGCCTAGAAGATTAGAAGATGCACAGGCTCGGAGGAGGTGGGGCAGATACGAGCCGTTCTTTTTTTCCAGAAACACAAGCAATAACAACAACAACAATGGCTTGGGGGATAGCAACAACAACAGCAATAACAACAACTATAACTTTGGTCATGGCAGCTATAACAGTTACAGGCCCGAAGTCCCTGTTCGGTCAGCTTCATCTTTAGACAGGCTCTTCACCTTGACCAGTCGTCCTTGGGAGGAGAATAGCCGCAGTGCCCGCCCGAGTCTTTTCTCTGCACGGCCAGCAGAAACATCCGGGTCCTCGGCAGCTTCATCCTCCCAGCCATCTTCTCTGTATCAAGGGACAAGGAATGAGAACGCTGCAAGTGAAAGTCTGGATGCCAACGAGTTTGAAATACTTCCAGTGGACCAAGAGAGGGAGGCTCGTAGAAACAATGGAAGTAATGGTTCGTCGTCTTCCGGTGTTCTGAGCAATGCCGAGGGGAATAACAATAATGTGGCCAGCTGGGAGGAGCTGCGTGCCTTGCTTAACAGAATAGCTAACCGATCAAGCGAGGAATCGTCCGCTTCTAGTGGTGCGGCCACTGTTACGGGTGTCCCCCCGCCATGGCCACTCCAGTCATCCAGTGCGGCATCCACTGCCGAAGGAAGCGAGTCTGGTTCAAGGTTGTCCATAAGGTTATCCTCTGAGCCTGCCGCAGCCAGGCCAACATCAGTTCATCGGACTCCCGCAAGAGATTCTGGGACCGCCGACTCGTCTAATCCCATCCTGAACCTAGATGTCTTTCTTGGCAGTGGAAATCTAGATACATTTGAAGTGCCTTCAGCTCGAGTTTCTTCGTCGTCGTTGTTGTCCTCAAGATTAGCCTCACAACTCCTCCCACCCGGACAAGAACCCCCTGCCGCCCAGCAGGAATCCATCAATTCATTACTGAGAAATTCAGAAGGTGCTCCCCTGGCGATGGGCACTTCTGACAACACTGGCGTCCACATTCATTTTGATAGTGGTGTCAGCCACAGCTGGAGGAGAGGGCTGGGTCTTCGTCATCATTCCGTGGATGAAGAGTCAGAGTTTCGCCTGCACTCCTCACTGCTGGACCGCACAACCCCGAGGCACGTTATCGATCAGACCAGCCAGACTCTGGGAGCCATGAACCTACCAGAAAGCTCTGATCAGTGCACAGATGTGTCTGATTTGGGGGAGCACCATCAGCGTGCAGATGTTTCCGGCTTGGGGGAGCACGGTCAAGGAGATTCTCATCTCATGGGGGGTGCTGTGAGGGACACAGCGGGACATTCTGAGGTCACTAGGATGTGTGTAAGAAGAAACGTTTATGAAGGCTTGGATGAAAATATGCAACCCCTTCGTATAACCATTCCAAGGGAACCATTAAGTTGTGAATTCAGTAACGAGGGCGGAGACTTGGCTTTCAGCGAGGGAGTAAGTAACACTAGAGATGACCAGAGTCAGTCCTGTATAAGTGTCGATAGTAGAAGTACCAAAATGTCGATCTTGGCTGCCGGTGTGGATTGTAATTTAAGAGACGATGTCTGCACCTTGCCGCTAAAAAAACGTGGCAGAAAAATTCAAAGCGCAGACGCTGTGGTGAACAGTCTGGGTTTTTCAACAAGTGAACATGCTTGCCCTTTGCATGCATCAAGACAAACTGGTTCTCTTGTTGGCGGTGGAGGGGAGGGCAGTAGTAGGCATGCAGGGCCATCACAGCTGGCCAGCTGCTCAGACAATGAACAGATTTGTGCTGATAGCTCTCATACTAGAGAAATACAAGCGGGTGCATGTACGGATCAGTCAAACACCCAACTGTCCAAAAAAGTTGGTGAGGGCCAATCAGGCATGGTATGTTCAGATCCGAAGGACAGATCTGAAGATAATGAACGGCTTGGTGAGAACTGGTGTCCATCCACTGTTGAAGATAATAAACTCGGTACCTCTGTTGTGCCCGAACCCGAGATGTACTCTCCCGAAAGGCCAACATCGGATTGTTCTGAAAATGAATCATCCACTCCTGTGGGCACAATGGCAGCTGAATCCCTTTTGGATGTGTGCGGTCCATCGACTGCGGCCGTCCGCGTTATATCCTCGACATCATCTTCATCAACATCGTCTCTTTCCTCGTCCCCTTCTCTGTCGTTGTCTTCAGTCATATCTTCCTCCTCTCAGGACACCCAAGCTTCTAGTGCCTTACTGGGTACAACCTCTTTGCATCTCCTGCCTGTCATCTCAATGTCAACACAGTCTTCCAGGGCACCCCCAGACTCCCCTGGAGTAAGCAATAGGCTAGCACCCAGGGAATATTCAGCACTTCATGAACAAAACCGTACAATCCCTCCCATCTCAACTAGTGGGGAAACTAGGCAAACACAGATCTTTTCAAATGGAATGACCTCCCCTACTTTAGATGGTGAACAGTACCCAAACATAAGGCCCAGTATGTTCGCCACAACGCCTTGTCCATGGAACATCCCAAGGAGCTCGAGTGATAGCATTCTCAGGGCCTCGCTTGTGCGTCCATCATCCTCTGATGTCAGAGCAGGGCTGCGGCGATTCACTGACTCCAGTCAGCCCAGCGCCTTCTCTATCTTCAGCACGCCGGCGCGGGAGCTGACCAGGAGCCCATCTGTACTCAGGACCTCATCGTTGCAGAACCCTGCTTCTGCCAACCCGGCATCTTCCTCTGGTCTGTACCCACCCGCCACCAGGTCAGCGTCTGACCAGTCCAGTACAAGCTCTCCTCCCGAGGGTGAGGCTTCCTCTCAGAGACAGCTGAATGCTGTCAGAGATGTGCAGGAGAGGTTGCAGCAGGCTGTGCAACAGCTGAGGGAGGTGCATACCAGTGTTAGAGAGTTGTCTTCAACTGCGCCAAATGATGATATCAATATAATGGGACCTGATTCAGTCACTCAATACCTTGAGAGAAGAGTAAGTAAGATGTGACTCTTGGCAAAAGAAAATAAGTAGCCCTTCACTAAATTAGTCTGTCCAAAGTAAATAGACTTTGATCCAAGAAAGTACCCTCTGAGCCACCCATAAAGTACATGTGCACTGGGGGGGAAAGGGGTTGTCAATTTTGGAGATTGTACAGGGGGAGGGGTGTCTTGCCAGAAATTATACACATTTATTTACAGACTTCTTTGACAGAGCCCATGACCTTGCCAAAGGGCTATGTGACATCCCAGGGTGAAGTTGCGCATGTTAAGAAAAGCACTGGGCTCACCAAATAGCATTGAAAACCCATGATACATTTTATTTACTATGATTTAATGGTTTTTAAATAAATTTATTTGGTTTTTTTTTGGATAGGATGGGGGTCGAAAGCTCGTTGTACATACCTATGTGGGTGTCTAAAAATGTGCAATTGAAATATGGGGGGTGGGGAGGGGGGGTAAATTTTGTAATTTATGTTTGGGCTATTTTTAACCATAGTATGTAATTTGTTGGTGTATGTATTTACCATTTGACTTAAATCTTCTGTCTTTGTTGCTATGATAGCTTTATGTGGCCCGAGTTTAAATCATATTTGGTTTTGGTCTATTCATTACATCAAAATAATGACCACATGAGTTGAATTATAAGAAATGACCCTGTGAGTGGTTCAAAATTAATGCTACACTGTCTTTATTTAAGTCATCTCTCATAGTCTCGCTAACCTACATAAAGTGTGCAGCTTTAATTAGGTATTTAAAAAAATTTTTTTTTTACTATTCCTGTTAACTTACTGATAAAAAAGTAAATGCTATTAATTTAAAGCAAAACAGACCAAGTCATAGGTAACATTTTTTTTTTTATCTTCCAGGTATCTGAGCTTGATAGAAGAATCTCTGACCTTGAGGAGAGCTATAACTCTCGTATTCGAGAGCTACGTCATGATTACTTGATGAGAAGGTCAGACCTGCAACGAAATCTTCTTCTCTGTATCTCACCCTCCCACTTAAACATTTTATCATTAGAAAGTTATACAATTTTTTGTTTCCATGTTCAGTATTATTAATTCTCTAAATAAGCCTTTAGAGGCGCTCTTCCCCCACCCTCTTTACACACACTTTTAGAAAAGCTGAATAAGCATTATTTGAAACCTGTAACATTAGCCTTAATGTGCAATTTCCTTTGAATCTACATTCAAATGTTCATTTCTTGCAGTGTTTCCTTGTCTAGCTGTAATTAACATGCATAAGGTGCCTAAATAATTTCCGTGCCAATTGTTGATGGAGCAATTTGTAAAAGGAATATTGGCTAGGCCAAGAATGCAATAGACGAACTTCTTTTTTGTGTATGGGAATGGATAGGATGCTTTTTTTGTAAAAAAAAAGAAACATTGATAAGGGTTCACCGGCGTATTATTGAAAGAAACCCCTCAGAAGGCTTGTCATTCTTTCAGAATCCAAAGCAGTCGTGAAAGACGGCGCCCGGTCAACAACAGCCCTTACTTCCGCCGGTATTCTGCCCGGTTGAGAGAATCTCTCAGGGGCAGGGAGAGGGCGAGCTCATCGCTGGAATGTAGCACTAGCTCGGCGCCCGATGTCCATTCTAGAAGTGGGTCGTCGCGACCTGTCGATGGTAGCGGTGATGGTAAGTATGTTGTTTTTTTTTTTTTGGTTTATTAAAAAAGTATCTACGTTAACTAGAAGTTTGGGTAGAGATGGAGGTTACTTCGATGCTAACACGTCCCATCTGAATGTGAGATCTTGGTTATAAATATGTTTTCCTTACACATCACATCTGGATGTGAAAGTTTGCTTACTATTATGTTTTGCTTACATATCACATCTGGATGTGAGAACTTGTTTATACATATGCTTACCTATCACATCTGGATGTGAGAACTTGTTTATACATATGCTTACATATCACATCTGGATGTGAGAACTTGTTTATACATATGTTTTGCTTACACATCACATCTAAATGTGAAAACTTGTGTGTAAGTTTGTTTTTAAATGAAACAAAAGTGTGTGGGCTTTATATTTAAACTGATGATCATTCAAGTCTGCTACCGGGTGCAGCAGCTTGTATACAATAATCTTATTAAGATTACTCTTGTTACACAATGTAATCCTGGAATTCTACCTAAAACTGCATTGATTAACTACCAGGTACCACTGTTTCATTAATTTAAATACGTTCACTATAACTGGTATGAAAATGATCTTTCTTGTAAGTTTTTTCAGTGAATGAACTATTGCCACTGAGTTTTAATTGTGTGTATGTCTCCCAGGTGTTGAACTCTAAGATTATCGGGACTAATTTTGAGCCATATTTATTGTTCTCATCCATTAGCTCCTCCAGTCCGTCCTAGAAGTGGTCAGTTACTAGAGTGCCTGGTCAGACGAGACACAAGTCTTCCAACGACATCACAAAGGTTGTTCTCAAGCTTCTACCAAGACAGTTTGTTCAATATTAATGTTCAAAGAGGACACAACGGCATATCCGTAACCATCATTTAAAATTTTATCAGTACATAGGGGTCAAAGAATGTTAAATTTTTGTAATTTTGAAGAAGAATAAAATTTGAAATGGAACTTCTTTTTTTTTCCCACTCCCCAGATCTGCGCGAGCCTCTGAAATGCCAGCATCGGTGACCATTAGACCGGCCAGGGAAGAGGATAATGAAGACAGCGGCCAGAGATATTATTTAAACCTGCACCACGCCCACTTGCACCCTGACTACTCCAGCAGTATTCTAGATGACACCATCAACCGACCCACCGACACTGTGCAGAGAATCATGAACCGAACCATAGCTGGTAAAAAAAACAAAATAACCCAACTCTAAAAGCATTTCCCCCTCTAAAAGCATTTCCCGCTCTCTTCATTCAGTTGTGTACCATTTTTGTGAAAAAATTCATGGTTTGACATGAGAAGGTTTATTCCGGGGGGGGGGGGGGCAAGAATGAAAACCCATCTGCCCAAGGTCATTTTTTAAGCCATGTGAATTTTAGAGAGGGGGTTAAAAAAAGTAACGCGGGTTGGTTAAAGAGCCAAAATAAAAGACATTTTTTCCCCAGGTCAAGAATGAAAACCCATCTGACCAAGGTCATTTTGTAAGCCATGTGAATTTTAGAGAGAGGGTTAAATAAAGTCAAGCCGGTTGGATTAAGAGCTCAAATTAAAGGCATTTTTTCCCCCAAATGATATTGACAAATCTCATCACTCGTAACTCGGACATCATCTGAAACTTATTAAATTGGAATCAAATTATACAAAAATTATGGTTTCAATTAAATAAGGAAAGTATTACCCACAATGTATCATTATATTCTCATTCAAAATGAAAAATCCTATCTGTTTTGGAATATGCTCCAGTTTTTTGTCTTTTTTTCTTTTTAAAGCTAGCAATAAGTCACCCATACACACATTAATATGATATCTATGAGCATAAAATGTGAATGTTGAGAATTTTAAAAAAAATTTTTTTTTACAGTGATAAAATATTTTCATGTGTGATCACAATGTTGCCATTTTTTAAAATATTTACTTACTGCTTAGATGTGATGGTACCAGGGTGTTACCATTCAAAGAGAGGTCCGCTGGGACGAGCATATTAACAATGTATGTAACCAAGCAAACAAGACCCTGGCGTTCTTAAGGCATAATCTAAATATTGGCAACTCCTGTGTGAAAGAAAGAGCATATAAAGCCTTTGACCGTCAGATTTTAGATTATGCATCTTCAGTCTGGGACCCCTTTACCCAGAACAGCATTGACAGTTTGGAGGCGGTCCAGCGATGGGCAGCACGCTTTGTCCTGAACCGCTGCAGGAATACCTCTAGTGTTGGCAGAATGCTGGAAACATTAGGCTGGTCTCCATTGGAGGAACGACGACGACAATGCAGGCTCTCCATGATGTACAAGATAAATAATGGGCTGGTCCACTGTTCCAGAATTAAACAGAAACTCGTCCCTCTCCCCCATAGACGAGGCCATGACGGGCAATTCCGGCTCATACCAGCAAGAAGCCAGTATAGGAACTGCTCATTCCTGCCCAAGACAATCAGGGACTGGAACAAGCTGTCAAAGGGAACAGTTGAGGCGACAACACTAGACTCATTTGTGTCTATTGCCTCAAGCCTTCAAACCCCCAGTGCATGATTCCTTCACAAAGTGGCACTTGCAATCAGTGAAATATCCTCGTCAACTCCAGGCACAGAAACATTGCAAATCCCCTCTACATGCATCGGAGCCAAAATGATCAATAAATTGATCATGGGCCCTTAATTTATAGAAGAAGATAAGCAAATTTCTTTGTGTTCTAATAATTGTTTGATATGAACTGTCCATTAGTGATTCACTGTGCTTGATATGAACTGTCCATTGATTATTTGCTCTGCTTGATATAAACTGTCCATTTGGCAAATTGCCCTGTTTGATATGAATTAGTGAATAGCTCTGTTTGATACGAAGTGTCCATTGCTGTTTTGCTCTATTTGATATGAAATGTGGCATTGCTCTGTTTGATTCTGTCAATTGGTGAATTGCTCAGTCTGATAGGAAATGTCCATTGATGAATCATTCTATTTGATATGCACTGTCCATTTGGTGAATTGCTCTGTTTAATATGGTATAATAATTAAAGGACAGGACAATAAGATTTAAACGCTTCGGCATAGAAAGCCTTCTTCAGCGCACAGGACAAATGAAAATATCACAAGGAGCAGAGCACAGTAAACAATTCAAGAAATATCCATTGTTTTTTTTTTAATATGTAGTGTCAATTTGTGAGTTACTCAGTTTGATATGAAATGTTCATTGGTAAATCGTTCTATATTATATGGAGTGTCCATTGGTGAATCTCTCTGCTTGATATAAACTGTCCATTTGGTGAATTGCTCTGTTTGATATGAACTACCCATTAGCATACCTGTTTACTCTTACGATTTTGGCGTACAATGTACGATTTTGAGATGTATTCATTATATATACTGCATGTTTATTTTTTACTACTAAGATAATGCATTGAACGATTTTGTGATGATATTGTACGATTTTAAGGGTAAACAGGTCTGCATTAGTGAATCACTCTGTTATGCCCAGCCTTCCTACCATATCAATTTTATTCCATAAGTTCAATTTTTCATAGCTTGTGGTTACACTATGGATTTGCAGGTGCTTTCCTGACCAGGGATGACCAAGCAGTTGCCAGTAACATTGTTCCTCAGACCCACAGGATCCAGAGGTGGGATGTGTCCAAGTGTGTTGTTCCCGATATAACCAATGGTGAGTGGGATGGTATCTGTATGGTCTGTGTCCACTTAGTCTGATCGCAGATGGCAAACTGAGCCTGATATAACCAATGGTGAGTGGGATGGTATCTAATGTGTGGTCTGTGTCCACTTAGTCTGATCGCAGATGGCAAACTGAGCCTGATATAACCAATGGTGAGTGGGATGGTATCTAATGTGTGGTCTGTGTCCTCTTAGTCTGATCGCAGATGGCAAACTGAGCCTGATATAATAGTGGCGAGTGCGTTTTTATAGAATCTTGACCCAATAAGGGAGATCACTGATATTATTTGGGCCTGATAAAAAGTTTTACTAGATTTTTTTTTTTTAGCTATAGAAACTTAAAATGATGTTGCTATGAAGACACAGATTTTGAGACATCCCCTTTTTTAGAATGCCCGCATTTTTATTAGCCTTGTGATATGTGGCTTCATCATGTAAATTTATCAGTGATGTAGCTTTATCTTTTGAGAAATATTGGAATGCGACATTTGTAAAAGTTCCTTTTGTATGTTATGTTATTCTAAAACTGTATTTGTCTGCTTCAGTTGGCTTGGACTAAATCATTAAACTCCTCTGATGATATTTCCCTATTTTCTTTAATATAGCATCCATCAATATCGTTGTAAAGCACTGCAAACTCCACAATGATGCCAGCTGTGACCTCTCCAAGGACGGGACATTCCTGGCCACTTTTGTACCAAGTCACAGGGGTTTCCCAGATGACAACATACTGGGTGTCTTCTCTTTGAGGAAGGAATCTCTGGCTCATTGCCTGTATACAAAGAGCTTTGGTAAGATTTGCCGAGAACATTGCTTTTTAATCACTGACTTGTATCAAGGATGCCCTTAGCTCTTTGGGTACAGTCTGTGGCCAACGCTGTTCATTTATATATTTAAACACTGTGGACGCCGTGCATCTTTCTTTTTCTCATTTTTTGTTGTTTCATAAACATACTAGTATAAAAACTGAGCTACTGCTACGGCACAACATGAGATTTAGAATGCTTCGTTCAATAACAAAATCGCCTAGGTTGTTGTTTTTTTGTTTTGTTTTTTACGACAGCTGGTAATGCTCCTCAGCTCAACTAGTTAGATATCAATTGTCTTATTAAGTGTTTTATAGACCACCTCCCTATTGCACCATCTGAAATTTGTAAAGAGTAAAATACAAAGCAAAGCAGGATTGTTTGTGTCCGAATTGAATTGCTAAAGTGATTCATCTCATTAACCCTCTGGAGACGTAAGGGCCGATCTATCGGCCCGAGGTACACTAGCGAGAAAGACGTCAAGTCCGAGCCGTCGGCCTGATAGATCGAGCCTCACGATTGGCTGGCTTGGCGTTGTACCAGCGAATCAAAATTATTCACACGTATTCCTGCACATCCCGGCATTGTAATGGCGGCGTTCATTGAAGGTGAACTCAATTTATTTGTTTGCAGGAATTTTTGTGTGTGTGTGTAGTTACATCGTGAATTTCGAACATGTCTGACAGTGATCAAACTGTGCTTAGTAATTTTGATATTCTAGCAGTGAATTTGACACTGAAACTGCTGAAAACAACCAGGGAATTAATGAAGACTTTCAAATTGAGGGTAATGCTAATGTTGTGAACTCTTGGTTTAGTATTACTAGTATTAGGGGTCCTCAAATGGACAGAGATGACCCCTCTGAATTTTTAGACAACATAAGTCCTATAAATAAGTCATAAGCACCCCATTTGAGTATTTTATGCTATTTTTTACACTAAATATCACTCAAGTGTTAATGAGAGAGACCAATTGATATGCAGACACATTTGTCAGTAACATTCAGCTTAAGAGAAGGTCCCTAGGTCATAAATGGGGGCCTGTTACAGTGTGTCTGTAACAACTGAAAAATAGGGGGTGGGGGTGGGAAAGGAGTAGAACCATGTGCCAGAGGTGTCTGAAGGGCCTTCATGGGCCCTTTTCCCCCAAAAAATAAGTATTAGGACTTATTCAGGCTTCATCCATCAAAAAATTCACACAATTGATACAAGTAAGTCATGTTTATTCCAGGTGTAACAAAAAATTACACGCATAAATTATGCAAATAAGGGTACCTCATTTGCATAAATTTTGATATGTCAGTTTGATTCATAAAGATTGTATTAGTTCATTCAATTTCCTACAAGAATATATATGGTTTTACATATATTAAGGGAATAGTTTATTTTTTATAAATTTTTTTGCAATGCAAGTCTCGAGCTCGTAAAAATTGCTCCGTCTTTTTGGCACATACACCCCGAAAAGGCTCCGTCTCCAGAGGGTTAAGACTGAAACAAGGTTGTTTTTTGCTGCGTAGGCTTCTGGTTTGTTATTTTAAGAAATGCTAATGATTTTTAGTGCTAAAAGCGCACAGCACAGATGGCGATGGGGATGTTATTTAAAGAATACAAATTGACATTTTAAAAAAAAAAAAAAATTTTCTGGTATCCATCCATCACAAGGTGACGATGGTATAGACTTCAGTGGATAAAATCCACAAGGCCTGGGATTATTCGTTTTAGGATTATAAGCTGGTATTCTACAGAGCAAATTGCCTCTCTCTCGAGGCCACTGGATAATCCAAAAGAACATCATGTGGATGATACAGCTTTCATTGTGTCATTTGGAATGTTTCATGGTGTCAATGTTATCTGCCTATGGGATGCCATATCCGAGTTTGAATTAAGAGTTTCCCTTTCTTAGATGAGTTGCCATCCAAGGTATACCAGTCCCATTCACCCTGGCTGCTGCTGATGTATTTGCTTGGCTTTGGTGGGGATTGAACTTGAGATTGACTCGGCTTAGACCATTTGACCACTCGGCACCCAAATCGACATTTACCATAAAGGTTGATATTGAAAAATGTTTATTATATTTGACAGGCCCAAATGCCATTTCAGTGAGCATCTCTCCAGAAAATCGCTACGTCATGGTGGGATTAGCCGCTAAAAGGCTGTTCTTCTTTTCTGTCAACCAAATGGTGGCCCAAGTGTACAGACTGGCTAAGGAGAAGGCTGGAGAAAGCTCTATGCGGGTAACTAGCAGGATGACACATGACAATTAGTTTAGACTTTAGGATGAGACATAATCAGAAACTTGTGTACTTTACAGAAATAATCTGACACTTACGTACTAAACAGAAAAAAATGAGTTACCTGAAAGAGTTTTAAAAGCAAATAATCCGATGTGTCTTTTTTGTAACAAGCCTAGCCTATGTCTAATATAAAATTATAAATTTGTCAATTTTTTGTGTATTTGCAAACAATTTGAAAGGATTGACAATGCTCAAGTTGTAAATTGTCTCACTATACATTAACTATAATAAATTTAATCAACGGGTAACTCCAAGAGTCAAATAGAGTTCAAAGACCCATGTTTCATTCTCATCTATAATGTTTTACGTGCAGCATGTCACCGACTTGTTTCACCCGTGTAACCAAGACAGCCGAAACCATGTCAGTGTCAACTCTGCGCGCTGGCTGCCTGGAGTTGGGGAAGGTATGGTGTACGGTACCAACAGGGGAGATCTGCACTTCTGCCGACCTGGGTGAGTGGTTAGTTTGATAGGTACCAAGGGTGTTACAGGTGATCACAAACATAATTAGTTTCACGCGTACCATAGGTGTTACAGGTGATCACAAACATAATTAGTCTCACAGTCTGGTACCGTAGGTGTTACAGGTGATCACAAACATAATTACCATATGTACTGTTACAAACTTCTTCGTAACTTCAAATGTTACGACCTTAATTTAATAAGCTGAGGCCTTCATCAAATGTCGCGGCCTTCTTACGTTGTCTCCAGTTGCGACCTTCTCAATACTTGACATGTTAGGATTTTCGTCCTTACACTTCAACACATCGTCCAGTAGTTACGTTTACTGCACTGTCAGCAGACTCCACGTTGTCTAGGGGTTTACAACACTTTCTTCATATCTATATATACATCACAACTCCAGCATGGAAATACAACAGTTCTTTATTTACAGGATCCAATAGCAATTCACAGTGACGAATTTCAACAGCGATAATACTAACTTTCTAACTACTGTCTCGGCTGGACTCTCTAACTACCTCTGACTGTATAACACTCTCCCTGTCTCTCACTGACCCGGACTCTTACTAACTCTAAACTCTAGCCAACACACATCCCTTTTATATAACCAAACAACAACTCAGCCTACACAAACGTGCCACACCACGGACTAACCTCACGCTCTGACCTCTCGACCACAACTCACAAAACACTCCCACGATCCACAACTCCCCCTTCCCAACACTCACAACAACTCTCGCTCACAACATTCCTCCCCCCTTTCGTTGACATCACTCACAGTAGTGATGTCACACTCCAAAATGACATCACAAAATTGTAATAGCCAACAATGAACAGTTTTATCCCTAGAATTCCAATATCAAGTACAACTCACAACAACTCTCGCTCACAACATTACAATGGTACTCATAGTGTTAACTACACACTCGGCAAAAGATCCTAAAATAAAATTACATCAACATCAAAATAAACAATAACCATTCCCTTTTCTCAAAAAATAAAACATGACACACCAAAAAATTTGACCAAAGATAAGGGAGAAAAAAAAATTGTCAACATCTGTAATCCTATGGACAGCCATTAATTGTCCCGCCAGTTAGTACACTCAATGAGGGCGGGATATTCCGCTTGTCTGTCGCTTTCCAAAAAGCGTGCAGATTTCTCCCCTCGCTCACAACATTGTCTACAAACATTACTTCTCTCCCCTGGCTTAACATGTCAGCCCCTACAAGCAATTTGAATAACACTTTACAAGGCAAAAAGTTACACAAAAATTCAAAACACATCGTCCAAGTCAAACGTTCACATAACCCAGTGAAACTAAATTTACAATCCTCACCTCCCAACTCATGGCAAAACCTCTCAACAAAATGAAAACCCTCAATACGTTCAAAGCTTGAGCGCTCCCGGCTCTCATCACATAATACACCAATTTTATAATACACATCAAAAACAAAATCAAAACATCCCCCACCTAAACCCACATGACATAATTTATGAAAAACATTATTTCTATCCTCTGGTCCCACATCAGGACAAAAGGTCACGTCCTCCACGGACTCAAAGTGACAACGGTCAACGACAAGACTGTCTGAGTCTAAACCAGACCTGCTACTACACTGGCTCTCGCACCTCGAGCAACCAGTGACACCTCCTGACTCGGCGTGTGGACTACGACCCTCGTAGCTCCATCTGAAGTCATTACCGATGACTTCGACTTTGTTCACCCTACGTCCCCCTCTCGGGACTGCCCTTGACAAGTTCACGACCTCCACGTCGTGCTCACCGTAACTTGCCCAGGTTCTGACACAGTCAAACTCACAAAATACACTTTCGTCAATAATTGCCTCTTGCATTAAATCAAAATCTCTTTTCAGTAAAAAATTTACATTTCTCTGTTGTACATTAAACGACTCTTGTAAATTATAAGTATAAGCAAAAGCTGCATCAAAATCATCTTGTCCATCAAGACAGCCACCATTACCTAAATGTGGAACATCACTAACACTATTACTAACGTGTGGAACATCCATACCAAAATCACCCCGTGAAGCCATATCCCTGTGCTCACACACAACACCCGTACCAAAAAACTCTATTTCCCCTTGTACTTCTACATCGTGTGCTTCAACTATACTGACCTCCTCCCTCGAAACTAAAAAAAACTCCTCGCCCCTACACTTAGTTATGTTTGCCCTCATTTCATCAGGATAGTTGATCTCTTCCAGAAAATCTGACATTTTCTCAGTGAACTCATTTTCCTCCGCTAACAAAATAACTCTTTCCTTATCATTTTCCCAAGTTTCCAATTTATCCAACGGAACAATCCCCCTCTTATCTGCCCCTGTGTCTTCAAAATACTCTTCAACTATTCCTAACTGAAAAAATTCCCATTCATCATTTCTCCTATTGTCCCCCTTCTCAGTTTTAATTTTGTTATCCGCCATCTCTATCCACGACTTGCTCTCCTTGCACCATCTCTGGACATCACCTCTACTATTGACCTCATTTATTTTTTTCCCTTCTGTCATGTAATTACTATCCTCTCTTTCCCCTTCTGACCAGTCATTTCTATCGTACGGATCTAAACAATTTTTACTAACTACCCTGTCTATTCTATTCTCTTCAACAAAGTCAGTACTATTCTGTTCTATCTCCTTTTCCTTGCCTAACGAAATACCTTGACGGTCCTCAACTTCTACTAAAGACTCCCCAGTTTCCTTAACGTTATTTCTACCTATCCTAGCCACAGGTCTCCCAGCCCTTTCTCCTTCTCTACACCACGCCTCAAACTCGGCCTCTTGCTTCTTTATTAGGTTCCTTTTCCACTCTCGTTTTTCCCGTGCTATTTTCTCATCTAGCTGTGCCAATTCTTCGGCTCGCTGTCTACCAAGTTTTGCCATTGCTAACTCGTGAGCATGTTCTTTATCACGCTCACGTTCTTCCCTCTCCAGCTGACGTTCCCGATCTTCCCTCTCTTCGGTTAACCTTTTTTCTATCCACTGAGTGATGGCTTCATCTTTATAGCCTATCGCCTCTGCCTCCTCCCTGAGCTCTAACACTCTACTTTTCTTCCCACTCCTTGTTTCCATTTTGAAATAATCTTAAAGCCCTCAATAGTAGTATAAGCAATGTTAAAAAAAATACATCAATCTTATACAGCAACAAATGTAAACTATACTAATTACCCGGTCTTGATCTTGGGTCCCAACGTAGCTGACATGCGTAGGCGTACAATCGCAGTAGGGTACATTCAACACGGGTACAGTACTAGTGTCAGTGTTACAGCAGTGTCGCAACAAGCAGGGTACGACAACCTCACAGGATACGGTAACACAGGATACGGCAACACAGGATACGGCAACACGGTATGGCAACACAGGATACGGCAACACAGGGTACGGCAACACAGGGTTGGCAACAGTAGGGTAAGGCGACCAACAAGGTATGGTAGCCAGCAGGGTCAGCAAAACAGGTTACAGCAACCAGGCAACCACACAGGATACGGCAAAACACTTGATCTGACAAAACAAAGGCAACCACACTGGATAAGGTAGCCACAGGATACGGCAACACCACAGTATACGGCAACACCACAGTATACGGCAACACCACAGTATACGGCAACACCACAGGGTACGGCAACCACACAGTATACGGCAACACCACAGGGTACGGCAACCACACAGGATACGGCAATCAGCAGGGTTGGCAACCAGCAGGGTTGGCAATTCACAGTGACGACGTTCAATAGCGATAATACTAACTCTCTAACTACTGTCTCGGCTGGACTCTCTAACTACCTGTGACTGTCTAACACTCTCCCTGTCTCTCACTGACCCGGACTCTTACTAACTCTGAACTCTAGCCAACACACATCCCTTTTATATAACCACACAACAACTCAGCCTACACAAACGTGCCACACCACGGACTAACCTCACGCTCTGACCTCTCGACCACAACTCACAAAACACTCCCACGATCCACAACTCCCCCTTCCCAACACTCACAACAACTCTCGCTCACAACATGTACCAATGATATCAAACGTGATTCAATTAAGCCAAAGTAGTTATATCTTACAAGTTACGAGGATTAAGAAAAAATAAAATTGGTTAATAATAATATAGCAGAATAAATAAAATTTTATCATAAAAAACTACTCCGAAAAGACTATATAATAAATGTGAGAACCATCAATTTTAATAATTTATTCAAATACATCGATACATAAGGGAAAATAATAAATTGTAGAAGGGCAGATGAAAGCTGGCATTGAATGTTATAGAGATCGATAGACTTAAAGCTTGATCCCTTTTTATACTCATATATAAAGGTCCTGCACTACTATTGTCAACGTAAATGGTCTCTAGCTAGTACTTAAATGTTTAACAGTTAACTATCTGAGGAGAAAACTATTTCTGTGTATCACTGAGCTCCACACAAACATTTTTCTCCCGTTTCCATTAGCTCTAAAAAACCGTCCACGTCACGGCCCTTTTAAAATGAGTTGCAATATCGTCTCCAGATCTCGAAAAGTCCATGAACGAGATTCGCCCAAACCAAGGGGGCCCCACAGCGGACTTGAATCCATGATCAGACTCCATAGAAATCATTCAGCCCACAACAGTATTGCCACCCAGACGACCACCGTCAGCATCAGACGCAGCGCCAGCACACAGACGTCCAGAGATGATGATCATGATCTATGACGGTGTCCGTGGACATGGAAGAAGTTTTTAAAATCATTGACAAATAGGCCAGCAGGACATGGTGAGAATAGTGGGGAACTTGTGTAGAGTTTGAAGCCGTGGGTGCAAAGGTGAACTGCTCCTGTGTAGATAGTCTAAATAAATTAACTGTGATGACAACCAAAATATGTGCTTTCATCTGTGCTACCTTTGCCCAGCGCCCCCCTTACCAATTTGTGAAGTTTCCTGTCAGAATTCATGGACTCTGTTAAACGTGTAGTTTTCAGTTGGCCATCCTTGTGTCTGGTTCAATCGACTCTTGTGATGCCGTCATTACTGTGGGGGCTGTTCTGATTTGGAGACTAGTTTACAAAAAACTGTAATTAGATATTACTGATGATGTTTTTACGATGTGCATAGGTAAGGGTGTTAAGAAAAGAAAAAAAGACTACCATTTTTCTAACTTAATTTTTCCTTTACATTTTCAAGGTGATATATTTGATGTGACATTTGTATTTCATAGAAATAATCCAGTCTCTATCAGCTGATATTTAATTTATTCTTTCAAAGTCCATTTCACAATACAAGTTTAATTTTTATCAATGGGGGATAAGGTTTTGTTAAGCACATGCAATGGATGTTTTCTAAATGAGTGCAAGTCTTGTAAAGGACTATTTTTTGTTAAAACTGTGATTCTTAGATGCGAATGTGTTACAAGTAGAGCAGCCATAGCTTTGCTGGTATGGTAGATTTATTTTTTTTAAATAGCAGCAAAATGAATTATAGCACCAAAAGTGCTGACGTACCTGGTTCACAGTAAAATTTGGCTTTCCTTTTTTTTTTATTGTAAGATAATTTTTTTTTTCCATTTGCTGTTAAATGTTATGTTTTGTATTTTGAGATTGCCCTATAATTATTGAAACTCGCACAATGAAATAACCTAACTGGATCCAATCTGTACATACCGAAAACATGTTTCATGTTTAGTTATGCTAAACACTGTGCTGGGTATTTTAAAGAGTTATTTGAGTGAATCAACATTGGCTGATACCATAACTCCACGCATCATGATGTACATATTCATGCTATCCACCCAACTCCTTTCTGTGTGTAGATATGTAATTCACTCACTGAGCACAAAAGAATGTACATGAGATGAAGTGTTTGGATGATCATGATTGAATAGCAAGATATATTTATAACATCACAGATTGAAATATTATTCTCAAGTATTTTGATAAACCTGATGAGCTTACGTATCCAAACTCAGCCACCACATTGCACACTTAACATATTATATTATATTATTTTTTAAAATTTGATGCAATTTAAAAATGGAAATACACACTTTTCATGGTAAGTTGAAGATGAGTTTTTTTAGTTGCAAGTTTTGTAAGTAGAGATGAAATTTCATTAACATGTGATATTTTAAAATTATTAACACAATTTTAAGAATTTACAGATGTTAGAATCACCTTAGGAAGGTAATCAATCGTTTATAAATTTTTTAAAGTCAGATCAAAGTTAAAAAAAAGGTTATCAGCGCCCCCCCTTCCCCCCAATAGTGTCTTCAGACAAACATGTAACTGCATGTAGGTCAATATGATGATCATGTATGTAACTGCAAACCAAGTTAATTGCCATATTAAAAGTATAAGTATTTAGAAAGGTGTCCAGCAGTGCAGAAACCAGTATAAATCTGCTATTTTGAATTTGAATGCTGCATTATCCAATATCCATGTTGTTTAATAAACTCATCCTCTTTGCAAGGGATCTACTCTAATCATCCAGCTTTAAATTCTTTTGATGTTACCTCTTGTTTAGTTGAATATCGCTGCTATTAAACCCACAATGTATTCAATTTTTTTTTTTAAAGGATATCCAAACACTATTTAGGTGATCTTGAAATGTGATTAGACTTACAACATTGTGACAAGTTTATTTCAAAAAGCCAAAGATTTTCCATTTTGAGTAATAGTATCAATTAACAAAACAGTGTTCAGACTTCATAGACTTATTTACACTTGTCCAGCTCATAAACAATCCATCAGAGCTAGGCCATTATTGTACTCACATGCCACCAAAGCTAGGCCAAATGTACTATTACTAAATTTTAAAATCAACATAACATCAGTGGCTCTCTGATCCATTCAGAACTATTTTGACCATGTGTGACTAGATTTTGTCAAGGGAAGACAAAAATTTTAAAAAAAATAAGAGATGACACAGAAATGAGAACAACTTCTCCTTTAATTTATATTTTAAAATTTATATCTTAGTTAATAAAAATATTTTCCAACAATCGACAATTTCTTAATCATTTATTTTATTTTTATGAAATTTGGACGGTTTGAAAATTGAATCTGAACTTATGACATCAGTTGAAAATCATTGTAAAACCTAATTTAAAAAACGTTGTCCAGTATAAAATATGAAAAAGTATCACAGATTTGAATAGCATCACTATAATTTATAATAAGTTATAATACGTTAAATGTAAACATGTATGTAATACTGCCTCTGTTTAGATTTAGAGCTGCAATAAAAATGTGTTATTTAACTTAAAACCAATCATAAATTCCACTTTACTTATTTATTTGCAGTTTGCACTCTCACAAAATGGTCAGTCAGTCATATTCTTGATATACACACAAGCAGGGCAAAAAAAGTTTCAAGGATGATAGTTGTATCCACCACCAGATTTTTACAATTTATTTGGTACACTTTTATTATTTTACAACAGTAATTTTCAATATCAAATGATTGTATACAAAAAGAAAAGAACAATATTCGAATTTATGAAAAGAGAAAAGTGAACCAAAAGCTCTGTATCCATACATCGGCCAAATACAGAAAATATTATTGTCAAAAGATTACATTTGTGCTGTCTTCAGACGTCATTTTATCTGCCAGGTAGTGTGTTCATAGTCTTCGATCTTTTCTTCAATTTTTCTTTGTTTTTTTTTTTTGAAGTTGAAAAGTTGAAATGATTGTTACAAAGGAAACAAAAACAGAGTAAATATAATTTATACAGGTCTAACTGCTCTCTTTCAGTTCTGAAAAAATTATCTTCTGTAACATATCTTTTGTAACCACAGACTCAAAAAAAATTATTTTTTAATTTTTGCCTATTTTTTCTTGGGAGGTTTCTTTCCCTTGGTCACAGCAGATCCTTGTTCTGCTTTTAGAAGAGCAGCTTGCCTTTCAAGTTCTTCCAAGCGGAGCCGCTCGGCTTCCAGATACTTCTGTCGAATGGCTTCGCGGGGAATGTTGATCCGTTCTCTGGCAGCATCCAAAGCTGCCTGTTACGTCAAGAGAGTAGAAAAATAGGAAAGTAAAGAAATGTAAAATAAAAAATATATTAGTGAAGTTAATGTAATTTGATATAAAATGAATTGTCATATCCTTGTTTCTCATCAAAAAATTGTAAGATCTTTGGCTCAATTTGAATTATCACCATTCTTAGACGTAATAAATACACACTGATAAATTGGCTGGGCTAATGTATATAATTTCTTTATCTATCAAGCTCAACTTTCAAAAAATTCAGGTGGATGACTTCTTTAAAATAAACTTTCACATGTACGGTTAAAATTATACAACCCCAATATAGTATTCCTTACAAATGCAACAGTTCCAAAACAAGATGGAAAATTAGCAGATGTCTTTTTTAATCTAATGATAACAGACATGGTAGAAATCTTTAAAAAAAATTCATTTGAACAACGTGCTCTGATTTTTTAAATATTTTTAGCAGTAATTAAAAAGAGTGCAGTGAACATTTTATTAATTTTTTTCTTCTAAATTTAAAATATGAGTAAGCTCTATAAACAGCTCATTAGTGTATTTTCATTTCATCTGATTACACAGTTGATGTGCCTCTTTCTGAACATTTCAAGATCATGAAGATAATATGGTCACTATAAGATATGCTTGATTTCCTACAGTTTACTTTCATTTTACATAAATTATGGACATTTATACATAAAACATTGAAACACATACTTGCATATGAATTTATTAATCTCAATGTTAGTAGTTTTACATAACTTATAAGCTAAAGTCAAAGTTACAAGAAGTCAACATCTGCAGCTAAAATGGAAAAGACATAATTTGTTTCTTATTAATTCTTTACAACTACAACTGAAGCTATTCACTGAGCAGTTCAGTATCAATAGAATCTTAGTTTAGTGACCCAAAATGCATATTACTCTTCCGAGAGGACAAGATAAAATGTATTTTTGTCCAAGTAAGAAATTTAATTAAATTTTGTCTTGTCAAGATTTTAAAAATTTCTTTTTAGCCACAGAATGTTGATTTGTTAGTAGCTACTGTTTAATTCTAAAAATAATATAATGAACCTACTGGAACTAATGAAGATAAAGGAATACTTTAATATATTAAAATGACTTATGCTGTTCTGTGGACAAATGTGCTTAAAGTCAAAGTCAAAACTATTATCAAATTTTTTTTTACTAAAATTGCATCTTAAGAGATGCAGCATCCTCAACAACATGCCCTTCCCCCCACCGCCTATAAGAGAAAAAAGATATTCACACACCAATGCTATTTAACTATCAAAGTATGCCACAAATACTGTGGTATTAATATAGTCTTAGCTTACATTAAAACAATTGTTTCTTATCATTGAATATGAAATTGTTTTTTTACCATTCGATTTGCATGCACAAAATGGTTGTGCTTCATAAATTTAAAAGAAGAAAATGAGAATCTATACAATACTATATATTTACAATAAAGTTTAACAGGGAGAAAAATTTTAGTCATTCCAGTTCATTGATGTCTTTCTAAATCTAATGCAACATACCGGTACAAAAGTTGTGGCTCACAAGTTAATTTTTTAATAAAATCTAAACCAGTGGTTTCCAAACTGAGGGACACTCTTTATCATTTTGTAAAGTAACAGGGTGCCACGAGTTAAATTTTGAATATCGAGTGATGCAGTATTAAGTTTGGGAACCACTGGCCTAAAGCCCACAGATACAGAGACAACATCACTGTTTGGACTGTGCATATACAGGGGTGGACTACCCAAAAAGACAAGTGTTGATTTCCCAAGTGTGTTCAATGTTGCTAGTAGTCCTCCAACTCAGAGTCGTGAATGGAGTGATCTGATTCTAACGAATCAAAGTCACAGAACATAGAGGAAGTCAAGAGCTTTTTGCGCCTGTAGCTAACAAGGCTAGATAAGTAAACGGCCCTATACCTGTCCACAGAATGCTGCTTGTTGTGAGGTGAGAAAATGGGTGAATAGGTCAACTTAACCAATCAATTAATTGGAAATTTAAAAAAAAAAAACACATAAAAGGCTTTATTTATTTGAAGGACTGTTGAGAAAGACAAACCCATTGGCTTGTGTAATTATATTTTATGAATCAGGATCATTTCAAGTAAACAGTGGATATAATGCCCAAGGCCTTGGCCTTGAGTCATGCAGGATTGTGTGAGAATGGTTTTCATGTACTTCTTCCACAACAGGATAGCCATTCCTGTAAGCACTCCTGCAGGTATGGAAAATACATTCTTTCATCTGAGATACTTATTCTTTAGAAGAAGACTACTACTACTACTGCGAAAGTCAGCTGTTACATTTAGAAAAACTTTTGACATGTCAAATTTTTTAGTCAATCAGGGTCTGAGCTTTCAGACCTTGATGCCTAAGCCTTAACCAATTTCTAGATAATTCTGGTTTCACAACCGCCAGGCCACAAACTCCAGTTTCAGCTCCACTGAAGACAGTTTACTAAGTATAGACTTACAAGCAACCATCTACTGCAGCTGAATGGTTATTCATCTGGTGATATCTATAAGATTAAAATTTGTTTTTTCTAAATGACGGGGAAGGGACAATTGAACTTAATTTTACTTTGTTGATGTTGATTATTATAAATATAAGGCCAAGTTAATTGTAAGTAGCTATGTGGCGGCACTGTGAACTCTTGCACAGTGTAGTGTTAGTGTCATAGAAGCCTGCACTGCATGACAAACATGCATGTAATCGAACGTTAAAAGTTCCAGTATTTTTTGTTTAAAGTTATAATTGTTTAATAACTATGCCGTCAAAACGGCCGATTGGCTTGTGTGCCGTATCAGCCGATATCGAAATTATTATTATTATTATTATAAATGCGAATTACAAGTTTTACGCTTTTTGTTGTTGTTGTTTTTTTAAAGGGGGGTAACTATGGTAGACTAGTGCTACCTACTTCATAATCATATCGAAAGACAAGGTAACATTAAAATTTTCTTATCTATATTTTTGCTT